TTCTCTGTATTTTCAAAAGGACTCTGGGCCCCGGTTCCCAGCGGGTGTTGCTCCCCACAGATAGATCGGAGCATGGTCACATTCAAGACACAGAAACGGCCCCCCCCCCAAAAAAAAGACCTCTTTTTTTCAGAAAGGAAGACGGGCTGCATAAACAGAACGTCCAAATTGCCTGCCTGCAGGAAACTAAACTCAGAAGTGACTGCCCCCAGGGGCGACGTCCCATTAGCAACGAGGATTGGATTGAACACCTGAATGTGGACTTGTTTGTGGAAAGGTGCAGAATGTAGAGATTGAACTGCTTTTCCCCATCTCTGCTTAGAGCCACCAGACTCCGACGAACAAAACCACCTTCTTCACCCGAATGGAACGCCCGGTCATTATAGCTGCATCTGGACAGAAAATGGCCCCAAATACGGCTATAATGACCCGGCGTTATAATAGACGGGTGAAGACGGTAGGCACTGATAGGCAGTCCTCGTCCTCGTTTCTAACCTCTCGACTGACGGACCAATCACAGTGTTTCTCAGGTACACGAGCCACCAGAGGAACAAACCCAGGCAGTGACTGTCCTCCTTTCTGGCCAAGTCGACTCAGTCTGGCTGATGGATCAACCGCGGCGCTTCTCAGGTAGATGAGCCACGAGGGGAACAAACCCACTGCAGGCAGTCCTGGTTTTTCTTTTTGTTTTGAAAAAAAAACAAAGCAGCTCCGATCTATTCGTGGGGAGCAGCACATGCTGGGAACCGGGCCCAGCGTCCCTTATAATAGGAATGCAATGCCTGATTATAATGGTTCAGGATAATTTGAGGATGATTCCAGATGAACTGGTTTCTAGCATAGTAGACTGACAAAACAACCACAGTGTTTCTCAGGTACATGAGCCACCAGTCTGAGAGGAACAAAACGAGGTAGCCTAGTCGGCTGAGATGAACCAACCGCAGTGTTTCTTTGTCACAGGAGCCACCAGAGGAGCAAAACCATACAGTATTCGTTTCAATCCCGGTGGTTCTCTTACCACCACCAGGATAGAGGTCTTGCACAAGGGCCTTTCAAAAAAAAAAAAAAAAAA